TTCATTTTTCTGGTTTCACTCTCATCCAGCCCCCTTTTTAACGGTTTTTCGAAGCCTTTTTTCACTTTAGAAACACCGATGCAGGCAGTTTCTTCACCTCAGTCCCCCTAGTTTCGATCTTGTCTTCCATTTTTCATCATAATCTGGATTACCCAAAATTATCGTGAACGGTGCCTCTAACTAGGCCGTTTTTCGACATGATAGCGCTAGATATGGTATAAGAGGAGGTCTCAAATTCATCCTAGAAGAAATCCCTGAAACCATTTTCATCGCGAACTGTGCCTTTGAGGCTGCACCACTCACAGTGACAATGAAGCAGCCTCCCAGACAGCTACAACTAACTACATAATCTTTTCTTACGTTTCGAACCTCCACATTTGCAAAGTCCTCCGATTTTCGCGCTTTCCTCCGCTATTGCTGCGCTATGAGGTGCCGCAGTTTCTCCCAGAATTCCCAGAGCACTCGGCAGCTGCCCTATCCCTGCACCGAAAATTCGAACCTTTCCCTTCATAGCGCGCAACCGTGCGCGATCAGGTGCGGCGAACGTGACGTCGTTTTTGGGGAGAAGATAACGGACCCCTGCACTACGCTGTAGCGTAACTGCCATTGTTTCACTCAAACTAGATACTTCAGAATTCCCGTGAGGTGCACCCTTGAGAAGAAGAGGCCATCACGACTCGAAACGGCGCAGTATGCGATGCGGAAGTCTCTGACGATTGGCGAGTTAGAACAAAACAAAACCTCGGCCTCCAACGAGACTCGAACCCGCCTACCCGGGTAGCGAGCTCTTATCTCTTATCTCTACACTGGAACGGAACCCTCTGCCCTTGCCTTATTAATGGCTGCCATCGCTTAACAACACTCACACGTGAGGTCAACTGAAAAAGGCAACATGTGTAACAGCAATAAACTGTATGGCCGTCAAATTCTGTGTTTGTACGCAGTGCACTACATTGCATCGCACGGCTATATTTCAACTTCCCATTATTTAAAGCGTCGTCCTTGATTCGAGCAGCGTCCCCGAATCATTGCAGTCTCCCAGTCGATTTTTCCTGTGGTTTCCGGGAGAACTCCGATTCTTCCCCTTGAGCTTGAGTTTTTTGGCTTTTGAGGTGGCATTTTTTCGTGAAGTCTCAGATTTTTTTTGGGAATAATTTGATTTTGGCTTCTTGCAGTGAGTATCAGATTGTATTAATCTCAGAAAACAATCATCTGGGACTCTCTATCGAAACAACCCGTATCAATAATCGGTTTTAACTGACCTGTATTGATTTATTGAATTATATTCCTGAAGAGGAACTGCTTAGTGTTGGCTACAAAGGAGCACAGTATTATAGCTCACTGAAATGTAGTTTATGAATAAATCGTAAAACGCAGGTTATGCAATAACATTTAATTTAGTTGTAGGGCTTGACAAGCTGAATGTTATGGAAAGAAGCCTATTGAAAAAGATTTTCTTCCTTTCGGTAATCTTTCAGGAAAGCTTTAACATTTTGAAGGTCACTTTTCCTATGATACTCTTCTCTAGCTAAGGAGATTTCGAAGGGTAAGGAGATTGCTACACTTTGTGGTGATGTACATTCGAATAAATGGGCTAGTGTTATGTATAGAAGCAAACTTACTCAAGTCTTTATAATTACTGATAAGAAGTAAATACACCCTTATTCCTCTGCGCATATAAGTTAAGGACCGTGAGTGGTTTATCAGACTTCCTACCCCGGCCATGCCTTCACTGATCATGAACGTCCCTTACTTTTTCATGGGCTTTTCTGGTAGCATTCTCAGCAGTCCGTGTTGATCCAGCTTGTTCTCGATGGGACTCGATCATCCTCGGTAGGAAAGTTATCCTTGAAAGTGTCTCATAACAAGGCTCGCCACATAGCATCACGTGTTCTCTTATTGATGTGTGCTTCCTGGAATGACGTTTATAGTCGCTTGTTGATCAACATTGTAATGATTTGCAGTAATCTTCGCTACATTTGTTTCCACGTTGAAAGGTATTGGTTGTCAATGTAATCCCTTCTTTTCAGATCTTTTCGAACCACCTTTTACGACGATGGAACTCGAAGACTTACCCGATAACGAAATACGTCAGGTTTGTCGAGCTTTTTCAAATGCTAACCAAGGTATTATTCCTCAGATGTGCAGCGGTAGTCAACCGTAAGGTTGGAAAATGCCAGCAAATGTAAGCGTTGCTCAGTCCCATCGATGGCATCGATTTCTGAGCTTATTATTAGTTGAAAGGCAAAAACTAGTGCTTCCTTGAAAAAATTGCTGGGCAGCTTGACCACTCCACAAAATGTCAATGCCATGTCAAGTTCTGGTCCCTTCTGTGAAACAGCATTTTTCTGATTACTCATTTGGTGTAGAGCATATTCCTCTTGATGTCAACGTACAATCGTAATTCATTTGCAGCGCCTCATCGCTTTGGGACAAAATGTCGGACCACTGACACCAACTACGAGAGCAGTTCATATAAAAAAGCTACGAAACTTGATGGCTATGCAGGGTACTGGTATTTCTTACTTTTTTATCCTACATTCTGCCTTTCAATAGGATTCACGCTCTGATGCTTCTAAAATTTTTTCCCAAAGCTGACTTCTACATGCAGGTATTAAGCGGTGCGATATTTTGACTCTTGGGTTCACTTAAACTACCACCATTTTATGTATCTCCTGCAGCTTTTGATTTTTCCAAAAGTAAATGGTTGGGATCACACGCAGCCGGCCGCAGTTACCTTAACCGTTTCTCTTTTTAAGTAGGTCACTGATTCTCTCTGAGTGCGCGTTTCGTAATCAAGATTGATTGGTGATTGATTTCCGCTCGTGAAGGTTCGGGAGAAACTCGCATATCCGTTTCATTTCTTGTGCCAAAGAAGAAGTACTCCTAGAAGCAGTAGTGATAAGAAGTAGTAGAAGTGATCTCCTACGAAGCGATGAAGGATGAGCGGTGAATTTGCTACTAAGCTCTCTTTCTAACCATTTTTCAGGAGCCGTGAATGAAGACATCGCGGTACTGTTATGCAAATGTCGAGGTGGCCCGCGTCACTTTCCTCATTTAATTCAGTCAGCTCGCAGCATCAAAGTGCGGACCGTTTACCGTAATCAACCTTGTCCCCGTTACCACTGGATCATCGCATAAAGGAGGAAAGACCTCTTTGAGTACAGGATCGGTCAAGCTGCAACGAAAATAAGGGACACCTAGTCGTCATCATGAAGCACGTCTTTACGGCTGACGAACGCGTTCGAGAGGCCTATGGTCAACAGGATTTGTTAAGGTAGATACCATCCGGTCACTGGCACAAAATTACTTCCCTTTGAAGGCATCGGTGCTGGTACTGATAGCCTGTGGGTAAGAGAAAAACTTACAAGGCGAGCGATCGCTTGCGGACCCTTAGTTTTGATATGGCGTATCGGTTTCACAGGTGTGAATCATACTTAACCGCCGACGACGGGTAATTTTCGCTGGTCGTGTTTTACATCGCCATCGACGTTGTTGACTAAAGAGCAAGAAGCTATTTTGGAAATGAGTGAAACTCACTGTCGAGAGAACACTCCTTTAACGTGGCATTGTGTCTCGAAGGCATTTCAATGGTGGCTTTTACAATTGGCGGAATGCCTACTGCCTTCAGTGTGGGCATTGCGTCATCGTCAACGTCACTATGGATGGGGCGTTGCTGATCACACAATGCACACGGCCACTACAGGTTATGAAAGTTGCCAATCAACCATCGCTCTTCACTCTATCGACACTCCTTGGAAATGGTGTGAGTCAGCTTTGGTGACCACAGTGTGGACGAAACTTGCGGCGGTTCTTGGATTAGTGGCTGCCTTCAGAGTAGGCGTCGCTGCATTACTGAGGTCTGTGCGCTTTGATAAGCATCGAATCGACACCAACAATTTGACAGCGCGCTGACGGAAAGTGCTGCACAGCGCCCATCGGTAATGCTATAGTGTGAGCTCCGTAGGTAACGACATAAGTATCGTTCTTGTCATTTGCTGCCCACGAAAGGCTGTGCATCTAAGTGCACCTGCCTAGTTGGCTTCATGATGCTCGTGTTCCACAGGAACGGCAATAGCCGTCCAAATCCATGCCTTTGGTTGCCTTGGAGCTGCTAGATGTTTGCTGAAAAACTTGAAAAACGTTAGACATCATGAAATGGTCTCGAATCCTCAAAAAAAANAAAAAAAAGTGGGTTGATGAAATTCAAGATCAGTAAGTAGTTATATGGGGCTGCTTCGTCGTCTAAAATAATTTAATGTTTATTTGGATAGATCAGAAGAGTGCCTAAGTTGTCTGAAGCATGCCTGATGTCTATTAAAACGGGCTTGTGACTGGTTACGGAAATCCACGCATGTATGGAGTGGAAGTCGTCAGCGACGTTGGCCTTATTGTCTTGTAAGCTACTACCGTCCAAAATAGGGCATATTTGAGGTCTCAAACTTTTTATGCAAAATGCTTCGATATATGCGTTGGATCTGAGCTGCTGAGCCCTTCAGCCCTTCATGACGTAACCACCATTGCAATCGGGTGGAGTGGGAACAACTCAGTGGATGAAAACCTGGTGATACCAGTAATGGCTTTTGCACAAATCATCCAATTTTCCGTCGGACCGAGGGACTGGATGACGGTAGGACTTATGGTTTGCGGACTCGTCGATAATATCTGCTGGCCCTCTCTATATGAACCAATCGTCAAAATTTAACTTTTATCTAACGGTGTCCTTATCGCCTCACTTTTAAAGGACAAATTAAACTTGTAGGCATATTTATGTTAGCTTCTTGGACATTTTTGTTTATTGGTCAAATATAAATTCAGGAGAGAACGCTATCACAGTGCACGAACCAACACCACCTCCATCTTTTAGCAGTGGAGATGGCACGAACCAACTGGAAATTATTGACAGTGAGCCTATTCTGGAGGTAAGTAAATTGATGTTTACTCATCAGCATGAAGCTCCTATTTCGTACTAGGCGTCCTTAACGGTCGTTGTTTGAGACGACCGTCGTGCGCTTTTACCTAATACTTTTCGTCCTGGGTGTCTGTCGCGGCCAATAACGATTCGACCGCTCATGTGGGCGGCAAACATCATTTTTGTGAGAGATATTTCTTTTCAAAATCTTTCAGTGAACCGGGAGATTATTGATTCTACATTCTGAAATATTTTGCAGTGGCAAATCTTTCAGCTCTGGTTGCGTTTAATCATTACATGCAAGTGTAAAGCACGCGTTTTGAAGAGTTCTGTTCTGTTGCTGTTGAGGCAAGGATGAGTGCTGTAGAAAAAGGAGTGCTCGACTATTTGGCCTCACTTGCATCTATGAAAAGTAATTGTTCCTAGTATCGGTTGAGCTCCCATTTTCGGATTCTAAAATTTATAGCTGATCTATAGGGTAGGGTAACTTGTCCTATTCAACAGCGTTTCATGAACTTTACATAGTTTACATAATAAATTCTTTTTGACAGTCGCTTTTCTACCATCAGTTCGATTGGGACTTCGTTGATGGCTCACGTATATATTCACAGTCTTTCAGGACGACCAGCCATTAACGCAGCTTCGTGCGCCTCTTGAAGTGTCTGAGACACCTCGTGCTTCTAAGGTTGTTGCACCACAACCTAGAGTTTCAGCGGTTCGTTTATATTTGTTGGTTTGTATTTGTATTACTAATTCATTTCGAACACCGTTAGGACGTTTCCATTGACAGACTATAGTATAATTACTTTGAGGAGCTTTCACTGTATCTAACACTCTTTTAAACTCTAAGAGTTTTGTAAACACGATCTGCAGCTATTTCTATTGTTTTTTCGAAGCCTCATTTTAAGGTAGCTGACGACGGTTCTGATGGAGAAATGTGGGGTGAAGAATCAGTGCGATATTTGTCGCCTGAAGAAATGGAGTTGGAGATGAGCTACAATAGGACTAGCCCCGTCTCTAACGTCGTTCAGACGGGTAATGTTAGAAAGGTGGGACGGAATAATATTCATAATCTGCGAGTCATGGCAGTTTCTGCACCAACTTCTAGAAACGTTCAGAAGACTTTTCTCTGAAATTTGATCGTACGATCTATTTTATCGAAACTTTAAACTGTTATCCTCCAGTTGTCAAATCGTTCAGCTTTTGGTTCATCAAATCCAACGTCTTTGATGTTCGCCAATAGACGGGTCTGGAACCCTGTGCCTGAAGCTTCTTTGAGTATCGTTTATCTACCACTGTGGCGGCCTTCAGTTTTCTTCTTTTCTCTGGTGGTAAAGACAGCTAGGAAGGTAGTAAAAGAGGCTGCCAAATTGTACAAGGAATACTTCACCTCGCAATCACGTTGTGGCGGTTTTAACTCTCAGAATACGGGTACTTTATTTTAGAACTCGTACGGATTCAGAACCACTCACGGATTGATCATCTTAACAGATGACCTCTTCATTTGTCTACGTGAAGGGCCAAGCATCTGAACTTCGCTGTTTATGCTTCCTTCTGAGAGTCCTCTCACTGTGGCAATATTTGACACATAAGTTTGTATAAAAGGGTGAATTTGTTCGGGTAGAGCAAGAGGGCTACCTGAAGTTGGTGGTTCCGGTTTTAACCACTTCGTGATAACATTTTAAATGAATTCGTGAGTTCATGGAATTTCGTCTATTAATGTTAGTCTGCGGCCAACGGCATCAAATCGAGGTCTTTAGCAAGGCGTTTCTGTTGGAGCTCGAAGAACATCTGCATAGTTTCAAACGAAGACTCACCGAAGTGCTTTCTATGGACGTGCGTTCAGATTTTATGAGAAGTTTTGGGAACAGATGAAAGGATGTGCGCATCAAGGATTTGAAACGTAACCTTTCCCGTTAGAAATGAAGTGCTCATCTACTTCAGGACTGACCACGCTATTCACCCTTATTTAACTGTCTCACATCTACTAATGTAGCAGGTAGGATTGGAAGCTGCCACGTTTGAAGAGCTTTTCGGAACTTTTTTCAGGGAATTGTTTTCTATGTTTCAAAAACATATTCGGTTACAGTGTTTCAAAACCCACCTTCTCTGAACTTGCTGTAATTTCCATGACCTTTTTTTCTTACTTCTGATCGAAATCGGTTCACTTTGGTAAAAGTTGAGAACAAGTAGAATAGGTATAGCAAATGAGCTTTTCATAAGCCAATGTTTTGTGTTGATATTTTTATCATGATACGAAGCGAAGCCGGTCGGACTTCTTGTATCGATGAAGACGAGTTTGGCCTATTAGTTGTGAGCATTTCTCTTCGTAAGCTGCTTTGAATGATTTGACGATTTGAAAGTGAAGGAACGCCATGACTTGTCTTTCCCAGATCAAACATGGAGAGTGGAAGCATAAATGGTACTTGTGGCTCTTGCTTATTCCATTTCAGTGGATGTGTGTCGGTTATGAAAGCACAACATGGTTGCCTAATTCCCACTGTTTCTGTAGTTTTAGTTCTAGATCTTCTACACTTTTTTTACTCGTATGTTTTAGACGTGAATCCTCTTGCTTTTTGAATTGCCAACCAACTTATTAATTCAAAAATTGTTAAATTTCAAGAATTCCTGTACCCTTCGAAGTTCAAAGCTGTCAAGCACATGGCAAATAGTATGGTCTCAGATATGTTTTCCATAAATCAAGAAAAATTTTTGCGGCAGAACATTGAGCATATTTTTTCCACATTTTTTATATCATTCGAATCTGGGAAATCTGTAGAATTGTCCTTAAAACTAGTTCGTGCTAA